GGCGAATAGAGTTCCCCCCTCCCAGCGATTGCATCTGCTTCTTTCAGTTACTGCCCGGAACGCGGATTTTTGCCTGTACCGATAATAGTCTTTGTTGTGTTCTTTTTGGGAGATGATATGAATGTTTATCCTGTCGACATTCCTCTGCGCCTGCAGGTTTTCACACAGCGATCAGTTCCCGGATTGTTAGCTGTGAATGTGGCCACGATAGTGTAGTTAGTCCGCAACACTTGAGTCTGTTCTTTCCTTCGTTGGCCTCAGTCTTTACGATCATGCAACAGGCTTATTGCTTTCCAAGAGGGGAGTGGGGGAGTAATGCGATGGTGTCGGCCATCATAGTTTATATGTGGTTTCAACTGTGTGTTTTGCGTTCATATGCTACGGCCGACTTTCTGGTATCTTGAGGATCCGTCATGAATTTTTTTAACAATTGTATAGCCTCCTTACTCCTGTTGGTTGAGAGACCTTTGCTCCATTACATTTAGTAGTCGGACTGTTCCCGCGGTTCCTGCTTATTAAATTGAATTCTGCAGTGTCATTGCGCCTTTGCTTATGCCCTTTATTAGTGCGCGCGGCTTCGGTGCAATAGTACTCAAAATCGTCATTCGTGTAGTCAACCCCACAGCGCTAAGGCTTGGACGTTACGCGTAGCAGTACTATCGTGGTAACAGTACTTCTGGCTTCCGAAACGTACTATATCTCGCCCTTGATCAGAAGTCTTTTGCTGAACAAGTTCTTAATTGTCGGAGCGCTTACCTATCCTGTATGATGTTCACTTGCACAATCCTACACTCGTATTCTGGCTATATATCTTTTGCGGTACCCGCATCACTCCACCTACAGTGCAGTTTTTGCCAGCCTTTCATCACAACTAATCTGCTTTTTGTGTACACACCCTCTCCACTTCCAACCCTTCTCTGTGTGCATTTTAGGCTCCATTTCAGAACACAATCAAACTTCCAGTCCCAAACCCTATGTCAAGGAAAGTACTAGTCGTGTCGCACCTGGAAGCTTGGCGGCCGCCACGGTCGACTCACGCAAGGCCGCCGTCCTTCAGGGTGTAATGGGTGAAACTGGTTCTCGTAGTGTTGTTGTCGCCGTGGACAAGGTCTTCTCCGGCTCTATTCGTCTCGATGGTGATGCCATTGTGGATTTTGTGAAAGCGCTATGCCAGGTCAGTGTGTGTGTTTTTAGAACGTATAGTAAGCAAATGGGCGGCGGGACAAATCGTGTGTTTTCTGTTTTTCTTTCCGTTTCTCTATACCATCGCGCTAAAAACGGTGGTCTTAGGATGATTGCTCCCGATCGCCTTGCGAGGTATTGTTTATAAATGTCTTGTCGAAAACCTGTAAGTAGAAGGCAAATGTGCACAGTGGCCCGATTCGACCCACCGACACTCAATTTCTTGTTCCTCAGCCGTCCTGTGTTTACGGTCGTGACTCAGCCGTGACCTCGGCATCTCAATCTCTTGCTTCTCATTTTTTATCGCGCGAATGCTAGTAATTTGCTGGTTTCGTGAAGTTTGTCTCGGTCCGTACGTGGACAGTTGGCTCCCTGTAGATCCTTAATCCTTAGATGGGTGTTTTCGCCTATGAAAGCATGTTGGGTTGGTGTTCCAAAGGTTTATTTTCTAGCGCCGCTGGCCTTGGGTACCATAAACCTGTTGGCTCGAAAAATAGCTCTCTGCCAGAGTGAAATGTCAGCTGAGCTGTGGTCGGAGGACTGCTGTTGTTTCTGGTTGGCAAGTTAATGCTAGAAATTGAGGAACATGCTGTCCATAACCATGGTAAACCTCACTCACATTCAGGAATTACTCCTTCCGGCATCACTTGTCCTCGAAAAGGTCAACTGGATCGTTCCAGCCACATATTTGTGATCAACAAAAAGCTCTGCTGGGTCAGGGCTCGCTGGTTCTTTGGTTCAGTGTGTGGTCGTCTCTACCCACCCACTCTTCCGTAACCGGCACCCATTATGGTACTTTTCAAAACTGCTGAAATCGCTCGCCAAAATCGCCAAAACAGCAACTTTTTTTCTACCACTAAAAGTGCAGCAAAGACCCTAGTTTGCTCCAAGGACATCCAATTTATTATGCTGTTCCTGAGTTCAATCTTCACATTTATTATTCCTCTCCAAACGTATTCATCCAATCAGTCAATTTCCTTCGACCCGTTGTTTTTTTGCACAGTCCCCCCCC